AGCACAATTGGGCTGTGGATTTTATACCAATCCTCTATTAAGGACCCACTTTATATAAAGAGGACTTTCAAGGGGCAGTGATGAGGTCTGCTATGTTAACTGTTTTCTACACAGTCTCTTTTTACTCTTTAAGTTCATTTAAAAATTGCTGTAATAGTAGATGATGATTATACCACAACTAGGGAATACAGAGAAGCAGAGGAAAAAAAGGAGGTTGAATCCCCTGAAATTGTAGCTTCTGGAACACTAGGAGCAGAGGGTACAACAGCAGTAATGATACATCATTTTGTTTTACACTACCCTATTCAACATTCAATTTATTTTGCAAAATTGCTGGTCATAAAGTTATTCTTTGCCTTTCCCTTTGCCTAGTACTGTACCTTCTAAAGAAAACCCCCTTTAAAAGGCTAAGATATTAACTTCTAGAGTTAGCTATCTCAGGAAAAAGATGTCAGAAAAACAATTGTCCTCAGATCTCCTAATCAGTAATCTTCCTTTAGTTTTTCAGAACCCGGAACTGCTGGTAATATTCAAATAATATCAAACTGTGGGCCAATGGTTTATTAATCCTGTTTTCTAATCTTAAAAAAAATAATTTTAACTTGCCTGAAGAGAATGTGCTTATATAAAGGATATTGGGATGTGCTCAGGAGAGGAAAATAATTTGTAACTGCAGGAATGTTCCCACTGAAGCCAGGTAGTACACCCCTGTAAATTTGATACCAGCCTTGGCAACTAGCAAAACCCCGTTTCAAAATTCAAAGGGATGTGGCTCCTTAGTAAAATGTCCCTCATTTCCATCATCAGTGTGTGTCAGGAAGCGGGGGCATTCCCAACAAAGAGAAAAGAAAACATTCTCTGAATATAAGGATGGCTATCAAGCATCTGGATGTGTAGATCAGAATGCAGCCTTCCTGTTCATTAACCCACTACCCTCCTTTCTTAATCTTAATAAAAACCCATCTGCATACTTGGAATCCTTTCAAAATGATCATGAAGATTAAGTCTAGTCATTTTTCTTATCAGCTAGCTTATCATAATAAAACCTGATTTTCTTCCCACTAACTTCTAGCTCCAAATATTAGCTGTTAGGAACCAAGCAGAGCAGACCCTGATTGATAATAAGATAAGGTGTGAATCAGGAGCCTGGGGTGTTCTGGAATAGAGAAAGTTTAGGCAGCGGCCAGGCTGAAGAGAGTTCCTGACTTCTGAGGAAGAGATGCCCATCCCTCAGTTCAGAGCAGATGCCTACCTGCAAACAATGTGAGGAAATAAGGCTCAAGGTTGGAGGGTATGTGTGTGTGTGTTTACATGTGTGTATGAGTGTATGTATGTGTGTATATGTATATGGAAATGTAGATAGATATGTATATACATGTGTGCACGTGTGCATCTGTATATGTGTGTGTATGAATTGTGACAGCATATATGTATGTGCTCATAAAGACATAGATGGGCTCACAAATGATAAAGGGACTCTCCAGGGATGAAGATTAATAGAAGGCTGGAAAGCAGTGTCATCTGAATGGGGGGTGGCAGAGACTGCAGCTGCAGTGTCCTTGAGGGTACTTCTCCCATCTAGAATCTTAGGTGTGAGCTATGTGGGGCTGCGGGACTGGGATGCTACCTAGAATCCAGGACTCAGGAAACTTCCCACTGGCAGAGGCAGATGCAAGGCAACTAACTGTTCATCTTGGTCTGAACTTTTGGTGAAAGCAAACAAACAAACAAAAATCATCCCAAGCACTTGAAACCAAAGCCCACACTCATTGGGTCTGGGATTCAGTTATATACCCCTTGAACAATCGAAGATAACAAGTTAATTTTCTATGGTCCCAGGTTGGCAGACCTGTCAGGCACTTTTCAGAAGCTGGCATAAATCCTTTTTAGAGGGACTCCCACACCCGACCCCTTAACCAGGCCTCAATACCTATAAGCTCCAGATGCTTGCATAAACCTTTCAACCAAGTCACAAACTACAGGCCAATATGACTGAGAATTAAGGATAAGACAAAAGGCAGAAACAGAACCCCCAAAGTGTCAGGTATTAAAATTATAAAATATGAAACATATAATAAATATGCTAAAGTGTTTAAAGAAATAAGAGTCAAAAACATGAGTTAGGAACAAGAGACTATCAAAAAGACAGGGAAGCTGGGTGTGCTGGCACATGCCTACATCCCAGTGGCTCAGGAGGCGGAGGCAGGAGGATCGCAAGTTCAAAGCCAGTCTTTTGGTCATGGAGAAAAACTTCAGTGGTTGTGGTGGTTTGAATGGCAGCTGTGATGGTGGTAAGATATGGAGGTAAATGTGGTGGCAATGGGGATAGTGATAATGGATCTGGTATTGATGAAAGCAGATTTGGAGTTGGTGGAAGCGACAATGATTTTGGCAACTACAACATCAGTTTTCAAATTTTGGACCCATGAAAGGATGAAACTTTGGAGGCAGAAGCTCTGGCCTATATGATGGTGGAAGCCAATACTTTGCCAAACCACAGTGACTCTGATAGTTCCCACGGTAGTAGTAGCCAGAAATTTTTAATTATTGCCAGGAAACGTTAGCATTAGAGGAGAGCCAGAGAAGTGACAAGGGAGTTGCAACACATATGTGAACTCAGCCAAGTACAGTGGTGGCAGGATCTGATTACAGCAGAGAAGACGCACTTTAGACAATACTCGTGTATATGGGCAAAAAAGAACACTTGAGAACTGTATTTGTGACTAATTGTACAACAGGCTATTTTAGTTTCTGTTCTGTGGAAAATTGTAGAGGGTTTTATGTTAGTCAGCTTTGCATTAATGTGACCAAAATACCCAACACAAACAATTTAAAAGAGGAAAGACTTATTGGATCACGTTTTCAGAAGTTTTAGTCAATGGTCAGCTGGCTCCATTGCTCTGGGCCTGAACATTATGGAGGAAGGACATGGTGGAGGAAAGCTGATCAGATCATGAAACCAGGATGGAGGGTAGGTGGTGGGACAAGGTGTAATTCCCAAGGACATGCCACCAGCTGCCTACTTCCTTCAATTATGCCCATCTCCCAACACTTTCCACTTCTTCCCAGTAGTCCATTTAATCTATCAAATGGATTAATCCACTGATGAAGTTAGACCTCCTCATGATCTAATCACTTCCCAAATGTCCAATCTCTGGAAATTGCTGCATTGGGAAGCAATTGCTGCATTGACTAATTCTTCAACATATAAGCTTGTGGGGGACATTGATTGCCCCAAAAGTTAATTATTTAGTCTCTGTTGTATTTCATAATCACTGTGTTCTGAATACATTTGTAGCCCAGTAAAGAGGAATGTACACAATCATTGGTGAGGGTTGGGGGTAAAAAAAGTATCCAGATCCAAACCATAATGGTTTTAATGAGATTGTTTTTTTGATACCATACTGTTGATTACTGAATGTAATAGTCCGATCATGATGCTGAATCAGATGTGTTTAAAAAAAAGAATCTACCTTTTGCAAGTCATTTAAGTTACTCCTGAGCATTTTATCTTTCCATAAATTGTTGAAGAATGGTGGCTTGTTGTAGGGGTTCTGTGTTTGGGATTTGGGTCCCTGATGACTTCATGGCTGTGGCATGCTTGGTGCCTGGGAAAGTTTCTGTGCAAAGGTATAGGATGCCGGGTTGCTATGGTAGTGCCCTCCTTGCTAGACTCTTTTTTTTTCTTTTTTTTTTTTTGAGAGAGAGAGAGAATATTTTAATATTTAGTTTTTAGTTTTTGGTGGACACAACATCTTTATTTTTATTTTTATGTAATGCTAAGGATTGAACCCAGCGCCCTGCACACGCCAGGCTAGCCTGCTACCGCTTGAGCCACATCCCCAGCCCCTTTGCTAGAGTCTTATCAGCTTCTATCTTAATCTTAGGCACATGACTCCTGGGAATATTATTTGCTTAATAACTACAATGTTTCACCAAGATCAGGTGCTCCTGGAGCTGCCTGCCTAATAGTAACTTCAGACAATGGACCTTCTTGAGAACTGCACAAAGCTCCTAACATTGCTTATTGCTAACTATGAAATGTAACTGCAGAATAAGCAACCTTACTGATACTCTAAACAATAATGTGGTTTATGGTACTAATGACCTAATGTAACCTATTGGTATTAAAAAAACGTGGCCACTTGGACAAAGAGCCACTCTGCCACTTTCCCTGCCTCTGCACCTTGTCTCTGTCTCCTCTTTATTATTATTCCTTACAGCTTGTTTCATGTCTTTTGTATTTGAATCTAATGCATGTTTTAACACAATTGATGCAGTGCATTGTTAGCTACAGTTTTCTAGATAAACAGAACTTTTATTTTTTTTTATTTTTATTTTTTTTTAGAACAACTCAGCAAAGTAAAATTCCGGTTGATTGTTGGACAACATTGTTTCACACATACATCAAACAGGCCAAAAAAATAAACAGCAACTTCATAGACAAAAAAAGGAAAAAAAAAAAGAAACCTTTTTATCTTTGGCCTTTTTAACCATCTCATACAAACCAACTACTTATAGTACAGCTAAAGTACATACACAAAAAGTTACTGGAATGCTCGGAATAAGATTGTTTTTTTTGTTGTTGTTGTTTTTGCTTTTTTTTACAAGGTTTTTTTTCTCCTTTGAGATTATAATGAACATGGTCACACCACAAGTAAAGTCAGAAGTAGGACAGATGACCAAAGGCTGGTTTGGTCATCCGAGATCATTAAAAATGGCTGACCCCTAAAAATATGTACAAAAATATAAAATGTAAATAAAAAATACAAACAAATTTTCCTTTTTAAAAGTACTTTTAAGAAAAAAAGCAGGGCCTTGGAAGTTTTGGTTCTTTTTTCCTCCCCTGTTGCAAATTCACGTTGTGGTTTTGGTTGGGTGGTGAAGAGCGCACGTCATCTGCGGGTGGCACTGCCCGTGGTAGGCTGGCGGGCGGGCCTCTCTACTCGAAGGTGACCACGTTTAGATTCTGAGACGGGAAGTGGAGGGTGAATAGGTCACGGTGGCCTTTTATTTTTAGTTTAACTTTTCCTTTTTTGCTGTCTAGTCATCCTCATCGGTCTTCTGCTTCTTGGTATCAACATCATCATCCTCCTCGTCATCTTCAGCTGCCCGTTTGCCCATAGCTGCCTCAGCCTCCTCATCTTCATCTCCATCCTCTTCCTCACCATCACCTTCCTCCTCCTCCTCCTCCTCCTCACCACCCTCTTCCTCTTCTTCATCTACCTCATTGTCAGCCTCCTGCTCCCCATTTTCCTCATTAGCATTCCCATTGGCAGGGGCGTCTCTTCCATTCTCTGCCTCCTCCACAACTTCCTTCTTCTCCTTTAAGTCCTTGGTGGTGATTTCAGAGCTAGTGTCCACAGCCGCGTCTGACATGGTGGGGCACGCCGGTGATCCGAGTGGGGAGCTGGACCCAGGAACAATGCAAAGATGGCTTTTCAGAGCAGCCAGTAGATAAACAGAACTTTTAGCACTTATTTTTCAGATCTTCAAAATTTTTTAATTTAAATTTTATAATAAAGAGAAGAGAGAAAAGGAAGAGAGGGAGGAAGAGAATTAGATTTTTAGGATTGTTGTAACAATGTTCTACAAACTGGTGGCTTAACAGAAATCTATTCTCTTAAAGTTCTGGAACCTAGAAGTTCTAAATCAAAGCATCAATAGGTCCATGCGCTGTCTCTCTCTCTCTCCCTCTCTCTCTGACTCTAGAGAAGCCTCCATTCCATTCCTTTCTCCTAGTTTCTGGTGTTGCTGGAAATCTGGCATTCCTTGGCTAGTACCTGTTTTTAAATGTACCTAGGGTTTGGGTTTCATTCAGATATGGTAAGACCAACAGATCAGAGGTGATGTCATTGGAAAGATAGTTTGTTACTCATAGTTCCCAAAAGGAGAGCTGGGTACATTATATTATGCAGGGCCACATTGGGAAGTACCAGAGCCAATTAGGAGGCAGAGAAGTGAGAGAAAACATAGGCAAAGGCTTTATGTATATTTTGAAGGAAGGCAGGGCAAAGCAGGTAAACATTTAGAATTGGTTGGTTTGAATAATTTTTGTGGGCTCTGAACTATATGGATGATCCTACTTACTGGTACCTGGTCCAGGGTGATTTAGGATAAAGAGATGATGTTCCAGATGGCAGGAGCCTGATAAAAAGGTGATAATTTGGGGTGTATGAATTGATAGGTTTGCATGTCAAAAGCACATTCACAAATAAACCAGTTATTACAGTTGCAATGGTTTGGGTAAGTATTCTCCAAAGGCCCATATGTTAATGGCTTGATCCTCAGCTGTAGGTACTATTGGGAGGTGGCAGAACCTTTGAGAGATGGGACCTAGTGGAAGGTCCTTAGGTCATTGGGGTGTTCCCCCCGAAAGAGGACTCTGGTCTGTCCTTTTCTCCCCCTCCTCCTTCCCTGCTAATGATGAGAACAGTGTACTTCAGCACATACTCCACCTCATTGCCATCCAGCATCCTCACCAGAGGACCATAGCATTGGGGCTGCCCAATCTTGGATTAGAACTTGAAGAACCATGAGCTAAATAACCCTTTCCTCTTTATAATTGTCTGAGGCATTTCATCTTAGTAACATGAAGCTAATACAGGGACCTTCATAAGAAAATGAAGAACAGAAGTAACCTGAGCAGAAAGGTTTTATACTTTTTAGATAAAGAAATAATATATTTTTGAAGAAATTACAAGACAAAAGGGTTTGGGCTCTGGGCAGTAAATTGTGGGGAAGTGACTAGGGGACACATAGGGTGGGAACTAAAATTAATGGAAGATAATGGTTATTTTAGTAAGTTTGTTTGTACTGATCCATTTTAGCATTGATTCCCATTCTCTGGTGACAAAGATGTTATTCTCTTCTTGGTAGAGACAGGACACCTTTATTATGAGATGTTTTATGGACTGTTATTTTTTTAAAAATATTTATTTTTTAGTTGTACTTGGACACAATACCTTTATTTATTTATTTATTTTTAATTTTTTATATGGTGCTGAGGATCAAACCCTGAGTGCTGGGCACTCAACCACTGAGCCACAACCCCAGCCCTGGACTGTTATTTTGTAGAAAAAGATAGGACAGAGAGCTTTTCCTGTGTCTGTTGTTCCTCATATGCCCTCAGGTCAAAATAATCAATATGCCAAAGCAGCATTTGGGGGGGTAGTATATCCTTGACTCCTTCATTATTCCTTCTGGAGGCTTCCCTAGAAGTTTCCATATTAAAAACTGAGCTGGTTGCTATGGAGAGAAAAATCGGGTTGGCAAAGGATCTGCAGAGAGAGAGAGGAACATAAATTAGAATGAACAATAATAATGAATAAACAGAAAAGAATAGAGCACATTTCCCCATATTCTATTAAGCTGTACTCCTATCCTTGAGACTAGGTCAGTCTAATAGAAGAGTTAAGATTCATTTGTCTGATGGAGGGTGCTCTGGTTTTTATACAGTTTGAGCATTTTCCCTCAGGGTTCATGTGTTGGGAAGTTGGTTCCTAGTGTAATGATGTTAAGAGATGATGGGACCTTTAAGCTATGTGGCCTGGTGAAGGGTTTAGGTCATGTGGAAGTATAGTGGCACCTCCTTCTCCACAGAAAATCTCAATTAAACTCCAGAGACCATCACCATAATTGTTTTTAGATTTTCAGCA